TCTTTTTTTTAATTTAGAGCTAACTACAGAACTTCCTATTTATTAATCAAATGAGCATTTCACTCCTAGAGCCAATTCTTTCATAATAGGATAAGTTTGGCTTAAGAAAAAAAAAAGGATCATATCAGGCAAATTCTTTATGACACTACATAAGAAACAAAGCCAGTGAAATTCTAATGAGATTTTGATAAGAGGTTGAGCAAATTTCACTAAGGAAAACACAGAGAACCAAAGGCAGCAATATATTTCCACATAGAGTGGTTAAAAATAATCAAACCATACTGTATGAATACTGAATTATGAGCTGTATGCTATACATATATGATTATATTTAATTATAGCAAAACTCTACAAAGTAGAATCAATTATTCCCAATTCTGAGGAGATACTGAGACTGAGAGCCATGATGTAACTTGCAAGATCATATAACCATCACAGGACTGAACTGAAATCCAAATTGAAATTGTGTATGACACGAGTTTTTGCTCCTCTTTAGCACTACACCTTCCTTTAGCAATTAGAGCACAGGGAGGAAAGAAGGAAAGTGAAAGGTGTTTCTTTAAAAGATCTGACATTGTTTTTGCCAGCCCATCACTCATGTAAAACCCAAGTTAAGGGGAGATACCAGAAACTGGAAAACTGGGCTAGGTCAAAATCAGAATCTTGGATGCAGAAGTCTGTCCCTGGAAAAGGGCAAAGGGTCAGACACAGGAAAGGGAAGCTTAGTAGATTCCTTGTCTCTCCATACGGGCACCAATTTTCTTTCTTAGCCCTAAAAGCTTCTATTATTTCTTTTAATTCTGCAAAGTACTTGTGATGCTGTTAAATATTTTTTCAACAAGAGAAGTAGTTGATAACTACAGAAATGATCAATTTTTATTTCTAAGTTAAATGTCAAGCGTGCTATAAATGCTCCTCAAGAATTAAAGTTCTAACTGTCATAATACTACAGCGATACTATAAATTAATTTTGTACTGATAATTCATTAACTGTTTTATTTATATTCATATTATTTTTTAAGAACTAGATTAGATTTTTGCTATGATTACTGTAAGCTCCAATTTCAACTTGTTTGAAATTAAATCAGAAAATGCAAATGACTGGAATTACTTTTTTCCTCCAAATATAATTACCTATTTTGATGAAAAGAAGACAAAGGACAAGTAAGCAAACAGCAAACCGTAATGCATTATTTAGTTTTAAGTACTTTTGTAGTTAAATCTGAGACTTGGAGTACCTCATTTCCTCTGTAATCACGTTAACTATAGGAATTTACTCTATTGTTATTTTTTCCCAGAGTATATCATTAATATAGTAATGAGCCAACGAAATGAATGTTTTATACTAATATCAAAAGGTGTTTATTATGATGACTGTGAAGTAAATTTAAAATTAAAATATAATTAAATTATTTAAAAATAATAATTAAATTAATTAGAGTAAATTAGAGTTGGCCATGCAGTGTTAGGGAAAAGAAAATCTGTAGAGTAGCAGCAGATAAGACCTGAAGCACAAGTGAGTACACCCAGAATGGCCAGAGGGACACATGGCTTAAAAAGGGACAACTAGACCAGGAAGGCTAAGTAGGCCATGGTAGGAAGTCTGGACTTTAGTGTAAGAGTAACTGGAAATCACTGAAGAGTTTTACCCAAGAGAGTTGCATAATCAGATTTAAACTTTTCAAGAGATCACTCTAGCTAATGAAGGTAGGAGCAAGAATCAGTATGGGGAAAACTGTCAGGAGACCACTGAAGCAGCTTTGCAGAAGTTCATGGTGGCCAAAAAGGAAGTGGTGGTAGTGAACATGGGGAGAAGCAAACACATTTTAGATAAAGAAGATATTTCTATGTGAAAGAATGTGTGTAATTAAAGTAACAAATATTTGATAAATGAATGGTTTTAGAAAGACACTGACCAGCAAAAGGCCTTATATGGTGAGTTTATTTTCTCAATAAACTGCCCAAGGTGGTGCATCTTATTCATCACTTTACAAAAAAAACCCCAAGAAAACATTATTAACTTTTATGCCCTTTCCCTGTACTAAAAAAAGAAGACATTGCAAATAAATGATGCTATGCCTTTAAAATACTCTCACATCACCCAATATCACTTAAAAATTCATATTATACAGATCCTTATTTTTGTTAAACACAAAAAGGATGCCAAATTTTGTGTTCTGCTTAAACCTTTCTTAAATTCTTCCCTTATCAATTATGCCCTGGTGACTTTTTTACAAGCACTTATTAAATAGTTAACATATTTTAAATGAAATAAAATGTCCTTCAGATTCTGGAAAGTTCTAAGGATTATTTTCTTGAGATTTCTCTCTTATTATCTCTCTCCTGCATGCTCTCGTATCCTGTAGATGATCATTTTTCCTACTTTGTAGAGGAGAGTAGGCAGAAATCCCTCTATTTACTGCTCTACCCTGGTTCCACCACATATCTACATCACGCCTATTATTTATTTTATTTAGTCTGAATAGAAAAGGATCCTCCTAGCTGGCTTCTGTTATCTCAGTAGAAAAGTGTCCTTCATGAAATTGAATGGAGTGGAATTACTCTCCCGCTATTCTGGATCTCATTCCCTATAGTTCCTCAGGTCATGACTATAACACTGATTTCCTTTCCTCTATCTCTAACCACTTTTTTACTGGTTCCTTCCCATCAGCATATCCATATCCGCCCCCCTTTTTTTTTAATGGTACGCGGGCCTCTCACTGCCGCGGCCTCTCCCCTTGCGGAGCACAGGCTCCGGACGCGCAGGCCCAGTGGCCATGGCTCACGGGCCCAGCTGCTCCGTGGCACGTGGGATCCTCCCAGATCGGGGCACGAACCCGCGTCTCCCGCATGGGCAGATGGACTCCCAACCACTGCGCCACCAGGGAAGCCCTATATCCCCTTTTTTTCCATCTTAAAACCACGCTCCATATTCTTTCTAATAGCTACTTAATTTCTCTCCTTGAGCCTTATTGATTTTTCCTTAAAAAGCATCATCAAAGGCTGATTACATACCTCTGTGCATTTGATGGCTGGGTATGTTTCATTATTATACCCATTTTAAAGAGGATAGGAAGCCTGAGCAAGGTTAAATAAACTTTCCAAAGGCTATAAACTATAAAGCAGTTTAGACAGAATTCAAATCAAGACAGTCTCATTTAAGGCTTTATTTTGCTTTGTAATATAAAGTTTGATGCCATCAATATCATTAAATGTATTTATTAGCTTTTGTGTGTTTGTTTTTCTAAATAGTAATATCACAGACATTCAACCCATATTACCTAAAGAAATACATACGAATAATGAGAATACAAATCTATCTTTTAAATATGTGACTGTACTAAGTACAAGGCCTTTTTGAAATTTTTAATCTGGTAAAAGCTGTTACATAAAAAAGTATTATTCACTTCTTTCTGATAGTACTTTAAAAGCATAACAAAAATGATAATAGAGTATTATATGCATTTTGTTTTATATTACACAATAATAGATATAAGGATGCAATTTATACTAAAGTGAGTAGAAGTATGATAAGATAAAGAAATTATATTTTATGTGCCTATTTAACAATCCAAATTCAATATTATCAGGAGCAAACGGTCCAAGGAACTAATACTGCATTTTAGAAGGGCAGTCTAGTTGTACATAATTCAACAGTATAATGACTCAACTAAGTAATATTAAGAAGTACAAAAGACTATTACTCATAGTAGATAACTTCTAGTTTGCTCCATTACATTATTTTTTCTAATTCCTTAGCTACCTTTTCAACTAATGTAGACAGATGACCCCTTAAACAAAATTAAATACTTAATGTCAACACACTTCTGTCACTACAGTCTTTAATGTATTACTTTAGTCTATAAACATTCATTGAGGGCCTACTATGGGCAAGGAACTATGTCAGGCACTGAATGTAGGAGGATGAAAAATGGGTGACATAGCTGCTATCTGAGGTAGTTCAAGGAGAATGTCAGTAGCACATGAAAGTCACAGGAGACCTCATGAAACTTCTGAAAGTGCATTCATTTAAATAAAAACATTTAACCAAGTCAACACATAGCACAGGCAAATCATATACAAATGCTACTTAATATAGAATATATATTAATGACTAAAGTACATATTCACATTACTCTTTCTCAAGTGTCACAGCCTCTAAGGGAATAAGACAAAATTTTTGGTTACACTAAAGAACTATTTTTTTTCCCCAGAAAATGTAAATTGTCTTCTTTTTGCATATATATAAAAGAAGTACTACTAGTGAGGAAAGGATTGTGGATATTTTCATATCTCTGCATGGTTCAGGTTTTGAGGATAAAAAAGGAGAATTTGGGTTAAAGGATAAACCTTAGGAATTAAAAGATGATGGAATAGATAGTGACAGTCTTATGGAGAGATTTACTTCCCAAGAGGTAAATGTTAACATTTCAAAGGGGGTACAACCTGGAGCCATATATATGTATACAATAGGATTTTACATTAGGGAGCTGAGGTCTCCTTTTCTCTCTCAGGAGGAGAGGAGGGCAGCTGTACAACAGCTCCTCTGCAAACACCCAGGTTAATAATTTCAGGGTTCCTCTCTTCTGGTGTAAAAATCCCCCTTTTGGTACTTGCAGGTGCCACCATCTCACTCTCTTCACACTGCTCTGAAGGGAAAGATGGCGTGTTGAGTACTGGTGTGGTTATAGCTCTAACAAAATAGTCTGCCCAGACACAGCAACTTTGTTTCCTGGACAAAATAAATAAATGCATCTAATAAAAACATCATACTGTAAATAAGAATTTAGGGGGAAAAGTTTCTTTGAAGACAGAACTTCACTATACTTATTTTCAGGCAGATCAAGTCACCTCAATAGTCAATAAATGATCTTATTCAGCAAAGACAACACACTGATCTTTATAATTTTGCCATAAGATTTCAATACAATGAAAAGTAGGGATAGTTTAGTGTATCAAAGTAAGGTAGACTAAAGAAAAGAAAAAGAAAAATCACTTACTTGATATTATCAAGACAGCCCGATTCAGGTTTCAGAATGGCAGTGTGATGAAACATTTTATATAAAGCAATCCCAAGGAAGATTACATTAAGCTGGAATGTAAAAGGTACTGTTATATTGCATAACTGAAGTAGAAAAAAAGTAAGTGTATTCTCTATGACAGATGAGTTGTTCTGGGAAATTAGCTCTCCTACACTTATAAAGGAATTGGATCATAGATGACTGCCTAGTATTTTAGTAAAAGCAAGAGGCCAGTTTGGGAACTCGGGATACCAATGAGTTACAAAGCACTGCTATGCCAAATACACACACATACAAAATCAGCAGCAGTTGGAATGATGATATGGGAACTGCAAGACAAAGCCAAGTCAAGTATATATATATATTTTTTTCAAGTATATATTTTTTAAAAAGACAGTAATTATTCCAGGTATGTTACTATATCTACCCTTTAAACATGGCCCTTGATTTACTGTTCAAGTGCTACATTACAAAACATAAATACAAAAATCGTAATATTTTTGAATAGCTAGGTCAAAAGGATTATAAAATGCTGGTTAAATTTTGATGCTACAACAAATTAGGATTAAAGTAGAGGGAACCCCCACTGACATTGTTATATCACTGGACCAAGAGAGAACATATGATATGAAACAAAACAAAATAAAAGCTCCAGTGTACATTTCAAATATCACACATATGTAAACTGTATAGAAAACCACATGTTGAATTGCCCTTGTCACCTGCTTCGTTTATATATTCCAGAACTTGGGGCTATTTTGTATTTTAAAATGGTAAGTATATAAATAATATACTACAATAGTATCTCAATTAGGATAAATAATGCATATTTGAAATCAAGATATTATGCATTTAAAAATAAAAAAAAGAAAATATGATTCCAGAATGTTTACCTAACTTACTTATCATTCTCAAGTGAAATCCTCTTAAACTTTAAAGCTTTTGAGATTTATATAAAAACAAAACTGGAAGGAACAGGAAGGTTATTTTGCCACATTTCCAATTTCTGTTTCCATTCATAATTCAAATTATCCAAATGAAAAACAAAGAAAATGTACTATTTGTCAAACAAAGTCATCACTGTTTAAAACCTATAAAACCAAATGGATTATGCTAGATCAGGCCCCTGAGGAGCCACAGTACTGCATAAGCTCTTGCAAATGCATGTTTTCTTCTCCCAGGAGTTTTGATTAAGTATTTTACAATATAAAAGTAGACTATAATGAGTGTCTAATTGCTTGAGTTATATAGGGTCAAAAAAGTACATGCTTTCCCAAAATTACTCTATGTAAATTAAAGATAGACAGCACAAAGATAGTGAAAGTTTTATTTCTTGACCTGGGAAACACATAGTTAATTAGGAGTTCTTACCATAATAATCAAGGTCGCTGGTCCTATAAAACTCCAAATGAAGTAGGTGTCAAGTCGGAGCCAACATCTGCAATGAAACACAAGGAAGAGAAGGCATTCAAGGACTGGATATGGGACATACATCAAGAGTGAGCGAGTGACAGAGAAGAATGTGAGCTGCAAAGCATTCCACTGGGAGACAGGAAATATTACATTGCTTGTTCATTTAAATGCTGAATTATGTGCCCAATTTCTGACAGCACTATTGATGGAGTAAGATAATCACCCCTAGAGGAAGCAGGAAAAAAATGGCACTGGGCCTATTTGCTAGGGCCTTTTGTGTCTGTCATAGAAACCTTAAAAAAAAGAAAACGAAAGAAAGAAAAAGCCATACACATAGCCATTAAATCAAGTAGCTTTAAGCTATCTTTTTCTCTCCAATTATGGTGCTACATAACCTGTCTATCAACTGTCAGGTAAAGTGACATTTTCCTGTCAAGAAGATCTGAGGAAATTCAGGACAAAGAAGAAATAAATTTGGTATCAGAAAACTGAAGTTTAATTAGGTTGGGCAGCCAACCTTTGAGAGTTCTTAAGTCTTAAAAAGTGCATTGTTACTGCTAGTGCTTCTGGGGTTGCAAATTATCCTTAGCATCCCACAAAGTTGATTCATGATCCCAAAGTAAATTATTAATCACTTAATTTCAGTTACATTTAATACTCCCTCAATTCTTAAAGCCTCTGGGAAATTACATTTTCATTCTTCAGGATGACAGGGAGACAAAATGCAAGTGACTAGTTATGAGAAAGATTAATGTAAATTTTGAACAAATTACATTTGATGTTAAAAATCATATCTTGAATTATTTGCCATTTGGCTATATTTGAGGCATAATTAAAAAAGAAAATATCTCCAGTGGAAAACAGTCGAGTGCTTTGCTAAGTGGTCTAAAAGAGCAAATCCAAAGTATGTAAATATTTCTGATTATTATGTAACTGTTACTTAAACCTTAGCAATAATGGAATACCAGAAAAGCTATGTAGAAAGAACTTTATATATGTCAATACAGGAATAAATAAATAAAATGTTCCCTATTCATATGATGAAATGTTATAAAATAGTCAAGAGGGAGGAAGTAGATCTTTATTATGTCAATAGAATAGACCAGAGTAACAAAGTTTAGTGAAAAAGTAAAGTGAAGTATCTATACATCTTGGAACTATAATACACATATTTTTGACAGATACATATATGAATGCAATTTTTTTAATGAAATGGGAAAAATCATCAAACTCAGATTAGTGATTGCCTCTCATATGTGAGTACAGAGGACCAGAAGCAGATGAAAGAGGCTTTAGCCATGTGCTTTATTTTAGTAATTACTGAAAGCTATGTGCCAAAATACTAATAGTTTTAACATTTGAGTGATAGAGGCAGTGATGTTTATTATGTTTTTTTTTTTTACTTTTATGTAACTTGAATTTTTTTGGAAAAGGTTAGAAGCTAGATTTTTAAGTAAAGAAATAACCAAATGCACTGAAAAAAAGTGATTTCAAAACAAGAAAATCTGGCCTTATTCTATTAAGTTAAATATATGTAAACTAATTTCAACTGGAGTATAATATTTGCAGTCCAAAAAGAAACTGACTACAAGTTCATATTTTTTACATAGACATATAATTTCTCTTTATTCAAAATAAACATAATAATCCAATTTGAAAAAATGTTATTAGGGAAGCAATCAATACTTAAACTATTAGCCATTAGTTTGTTTGAGTAATTGCTTATCTTTTTGTTGTGCTGTTGTTCAAAAAATTTGGTCATGGAAAATAAGAGTGTGGTATTGCCAATAAGGAGAAACAAACCAGAGAACACAAAGGTTGAAATATGAACATTGTCTTCATTCTGACCAGAGGCTAGTTTGTTACCGCCCTGATAACAAAGGAGTGTGTGTGTGTTGCGGGGAGACCAGAGAAGGGGAAATATTTGTGGGTCTCTCTGGGTCCTCAACAAAGACCACATTTTCCCTCAAGATAAGGACAATAAAGGACAAATCATGGACATATTCCCTAATTAAAACATACAAAAGCATACACATACACACAAACACATACACCAGAGTCCAAGAATGTTGCTGAAATTGTAACAGCATGATATACTAATAATACATTTAAGAATGACTGTTAATAGTACAGCCCCTGTTCTTCTGTAGGTCAGATGAGTTTTAGAGAGCTAATGTGAGAACCAAAACACATTTTCAGCAAGCTGTTTTCAAAGGAAAATGTATTTCAAGAATTTATGAAAACTGTTATTCTACAGGTTAATGGCTTCTTAGACAAACAATTTTAACTACAATATTACAGAATGTCTTGGATAAAGTAGAGAATTTAAAAAATTTACATAATTTCACCAAATGTGTTGTTAAAATAAAATAATGTCATTAAATTTTAGCCTTACAAAACTTTTATACTTTTCGAAAAAGGTCTTTGTTTTGCAAATGCTTTATTTGGAAATAAATGTGCTTTTGGCATAGTGATCTCTAAATGTAGAAGTGAAATTACTTTAGAAGTTATTTTTTCTGTAAGAAAATTCTTCAATATCTATTTGGTACAACAGATTTCAATTCTCTGAGGAACTGAACAGTGAAAGAGGCGATATGAAACACTTAACATGTATTAAATAAATCCTCTCTCCTTGATGGCTGCCTGGGCTTGACTACCTTCTGGACCACAGTGTGGCAAGAATCCCTTTTCTAATTCAATTGCCATATGGCCATACCTGCTGTTTTTGGCCGCATGCTGGCTTTCTCAAAACTTTCTGTATTTCCTCTTTCCCATTAACTACCTTAAAAGTTTGTGTGATTTGTGCCCTGAGTTTCCTGTGCCAGTGTTGAAAGAATTCACCCTGGCTTTAAGGTGAGGGAGAGTACAGATCAGAAACCATGGGGAATTGTTTCCAGCATCCCCCGTGGATACCAAAATCCATGGATGCTCAAGTGCCTTACAGCTGGCCCTCCATATCCATTCACGCTGAATGCATGGATCCGGAGGGCCGACTGTATTATGTGTGTGTTTTTACATGCCTGGGCACATACATCCTACCTCATAGTATTCTCTAAGTCTAGGCCATTCAATGTCACTTAGATACAATGCAAAACCACTGATTAAGGGGAAACAAATGCTATAAAGAAACAGCTTATTGTACTAAACATAATAAAGTCCAACTTGCAAATGGCCAGATAGACCTGCCATTGAAAAATACAATTTACCTGAAAATTGCCTTTATCCACTAAGCATCATTTAATTTGTGAAATCATTAATTTTAATAGGCTACTTTTGTTTAATTTTTAAGATATATCAATTCTTTTTTTAAATGAACTTCTGTCATATACATAAAATCTATAAATTATGTTTATATCAGTACTGTAATAAAAGAGATAACCCGCTGTTGAAAGAGCAAATGCATTCTGATGACACCACATGCTTATTTGAATCAAGACTGAAAAATCTTACAAGACCAGATACATTCTGGAATTCAAAGGAGAACTTGTCACATACCATAAACCTTTACTTTCTCTCCCATTTACCTATACAAAGATGTCACTGAAATTCTTTTTGTAGCAATTTTTTAAAAATTATAAAATCAGCATATATTGCCATATATTTGATAAAGTCTTACTACATTAATTCAGGTTTATTGGTTTAATGCTCTAAACAACTGATACTAATCTGCATGGATAAATTATTATGCTCTTCCAGAATTATTTTCTCCCAAAATATAAGAAACATCACTGCAAATTAAATAATAATAAAGGTGTTGAAATCTGGATCAGTCTCCTGTAAAAATGTTAATTACCAATTAAGCAAGTACTACCTTTAGGTTTACTCAGAAAACAGAAAAATAAAACAATGAAATAAATTAATTTCTCAAAACAGGACAACAGAAAACCATACTTCTAAAGCTAATTCTCTTCTCCTACTAAAATACTCCTCACCATTTTTCTATCATCAGTCATTTTAAAAAGGCATGGCTCTGTATTCTAAAAAGTGGTAAGACCAATTGCCCAACATATATAAATGTCACCTAAAACATATGTTTTATAATGTTTTTAGGTACCAGTAACACCACCAGAGTGTAGTTCCTTATTCAAAGTTAGCTTAACATTGTTCCATTAAGATGCCTTGGGATATTGTATTTTTTTGCCTGTTTAGTTCACTCTTATCAAAGCGGACATCTGACCATTAACCAATTCTTTGAAGTAATGTAAATTAACAATGATATTTGCTTCATTTTCTACAGGACCTAAATCACAGACTAAACTATCCTTGTTGAGTATTAAATGTAACCAGTAAACAATCTTTGTGACTGATAGACCATGAAATGTATAGGGTTTAATTATATCAGGTTGTTTATGAGAGTTTGTAAACTATACATTCTTCCTTTCTCTGTAGCATATGCAGATCTTTCTATATTTGTACTACAAATATCTGGCAAGATTGAGAGAAAAAAGAAGGAACAAAGAGAATTGGGGCAAGAAAGAAGGAAGAGAAGAGGAAAAGGGACAGATACACACTTCAAGCATAATAACTCTACTCTAGTTCTAAGCTTACTGCATAATACATCTGTTAAGGGTTTTAAAATGACATTTGTATCACAGCACACTCATGCATCTAATATTGAAATACTTTGTGAGCAAGTGCATGAACTGGAAAAAAGATTGGCAGAGTAATGCAGGAATGGAGTGTGATCACTGGTACTCAAGACTGGCATTTGTGGTTCAGCTACAATTTTGAATTTTAGAACACAAAACTAGATCTCATACATCAAATATAGGTTAGGTTGTCTTCATGCAGCCAATATGTTATTTTTTTTTTTTTTGGCCGTGCCACATGGCTTGCGGGATATTAGTTCATTGACCACGGATTGGACCTGGGCCCTCAGCAGCATGGAGTCCTAACCACTGGACCACCAGGGAATTCCCCCCAGTATGATTTTAAAAAAATAAGTGTTTCATTATTTCTTCAGCAAAATACATCCTATAAGTTTATGGTGGACTACAAAGGTAAGAAAAGTGCTGTGTTATAATT